CAGTAAGGAGGTGCAAAGTCTAGCGAGTTTACCATTTACCGAGGAGAAATAGTCGTTGTTACCATTGACATTAACAATTTTTTTTTTTTAATAGCTGATGGCCTTTCCAAATGTCTGAAGGCAATGTGATGAGTCGTTATCTTATTTGGCCTTGGAGAGTAAAACTTTGTCATCTTAATTGCTAATTGCTCTTTGGGGGCCAGGAGGGCTGGACGTGAGCTCTCTCCTTCACCCCAAGTAAGCAGTTTGAGGTTGCATTTCGAGAATTAATTAATTAAAACAATAGCAGCATTTGAAAACTGAGGCTTGCGTTGGGCATGAAGGTGGCAGTGGCCCAGTGGCCTAAGGCTGAGGCGACTCTCAGGTGTCTGAGGACTCCTTTCTTAACCCCGCGAGTGGGTCTCTGAGCTGGCTAGTGCCTTACAAAGCCTGGGATCTAGCTGGGGGGGCTCTGGCTGCGACTTGGGGGGGGGGTGTCCAGCCTCCCGGTGCACGACTGCTTCCGGGTGTCGGTGTGCCTGGCTTCCCAGGTTGCTTTTGCACTAAGCGTTAACGATTACTTAAGTAATTAGATAGCTTCTTAGCGGAGGGGGGTGGGTGGGAATGGAGCAGAACCGGAACTTGCAATGTGTCCACCTTCCCAGTTGCTGCGAAAATGGATCGACTGAGCCTTTCTGGAATCAGTTAGAGAATTAAAAAGAAAAAAAAAATGGCTGCAAGAATGTACAGGCCAGGATAGGGGTATTCGGTTGTGGTTGAGTACAGGGTAGGTTACTGAGAGGAGTGCAGGAAGTTTTACCCCTTCTAGGAGAATTCCACTCCTTTCCTTCTGTCCTGGCATCTCACTACTTTGCAGTTGCTGAGTACCCCTTTGGTGTGGTGGAGGGCACATTCTCCCGGGAGCTGGAAGTTGGGATTTCTGCCTGTCCATGACTGTGGTCTTTGGTCCTGAAAGACCAGAGGGATCCCTTGGGGGAGCCAACCCAACTGGAGTAACTAGGTAGTCCTCTGTCATCAATATTTACCAGGCCACATTTAAGAGCTGGGAAAAGTCCTCCTCTTAAGTTTATTTTTATAGATTTAAACTGCTTTCCAAATAGTTAATAAACTAGATTGTGAATGGCCTGGATGAGGAAAAAAAAATGACTTCTTGAATTTTTTTTTTGCTTGCTGGCAGACAAAATTAATAATTACAATAGGCAAAACAGGAAAAAGAATGTTTTTACAAGAAAAAAACCAGAAATGATGCTGTGACTATTTAATTATTTTACCTTTTTTTTTTTTTGCAAGCCTCTTGAATAGGCTCTTTATTGTAACACTCCCTTCCCAATTGAGCTCCCCACGGTGCCGTTGTATCTTTTTACAGCCCCTAACAACTCACACCAGCAACACAATTACTTCTAGATATTTATAACAAGAAATTACTTTCCTATGCAGGCATGAACCTTCTTCCTAAGGGAAGGCAAGGAGGGGTGGTGGAAAAGGGAATCTTGGAGGACCCACTCCAGGTCAAACCTTGTAAAGGGAGAAGTATCCTTCTGTTCCCTTTGTGAGTTGGTGGGTTGTTGGTGCATTTGGTTGGAAGCCGTGTTGCTGGTTAGGGAGACTCGGTTTTGCTCTTTGGGTTTGGGAGAGTTGGAGAATAGAAACCATTGTTTGCTGTCTGTAGGCTTTGTCGATCATGCTCACCCCCTCCTGTTCGTACTTTTTAAAGCAGTGAGGCGAGGTAGGCTGCGTGTGTCACAGTACAGTAAAAAGAGGGAAGATCTAAACACCAAAAGAGAAGTTAAACACAATAAGTGCGTGGTGGGGGGAGGAGTTGGACTCACTACTTTCAAAGTCCCAGAAAGACTGGGACAAGGGTAGAGAGAGGGCCTGCTTGGGAAGCTTTGAGGGGGAGAGTGAGAGATAAAGGGGTAACCAGAGATACAGGGGCTGGGAGCCTAGGGCTTAAGGTAATGAAATTCCTTAAGGAAGGATCAAGCATGGCTCTGCAGCCCTCGCAGTCTCTCAAACCCACCTGCACCCTCAGGTACCCTGAAGTTCTGAGGTCCCCTTCCCCTTCCCTCTAAACTTCAGATATTAAACTTCTCCCTCTGCATGCTACACCCCCCACCCCCGCCTCTCCTCCAGCCTCACTGTTTCTCCTCTTCTCCCCTTTCCTTGGTTCTTGATATTTTTGCAATGTGGCAACCAGACTTTTCAGATTCACCCATGCCAGGCTAGCACATTCTCTTCCAAAAGGTGGGGATTCTGCAGGAGAGGCCAATGGTAATGTTGATGCAACTCTGGGATTTAAGGTTTTCTGGCAGTGTGAGCCCTATGCATTCCCCCGCTGATAGTGGGGCTCAGAGAGCCCAGGGCCTATGCTCTTGAGTCACAATTTGACATACCTTTCACCTTTCTCTCCTTCTGTTTTGTCTTAGGGGGAAGACTTTAACTAGGGGCGCGCAGATGTGTGAGACCTTTTATTGTAGGAGTGGACAGACATCCCTGATCTCAGGCAAGTTCTGCAGTGGCTGCTTTTGGGCTCCAGAAACCAAAAGAATCAAAGGATTTCAGAATGTTTCTTCACTGTAGTTCAGATGGGAAAAAAATCAAATAAATTTAGGTCATCATCTCTCCTGATTAATGACTTAGCTAACTGTAGGATTTGGAGAAAACAGATTGGGAATACCGGAGTATTTGTATACCAAAGGATAGATTTTTCACATGCACTGGAGGGCAGAGATGGATGATTCAAGTGACTGAGGGGATCACTTCCTAAAAAGGGGGGGGGGAGTCCATCTGTCCTGGCTCCAGGTCATTCTCTACCATGAACTAGGCCTACCTGGCTCCATGACCTGGCATTAACGCCTATATTTTTGCTAACAGAATCCCATATTCGAGCCCCGTGGGATCCCGCGGCCCCCCAGTGCCAGTATGCAGAACAGTAAGTGCCTCTGGTCAGTCTGGGTCTCAGGGCTGGGGACTGGCTGGTGGGTCAGGGTAGAGCAGCTGCGGTGCTGGCCGGGCTGCTCTGTGAGGGAATGGCGCCCTCCTCCTCACCCAGCAATCCGAGAGGGGAGGGCGTTTGCTCTGCTGTTTTTGCTCCTGGAAGAAAAGGGTCCCTTCAAAACAGCCCTCTTGAGTTGGCCAGGCTGCAGTAGAGAAACCCCATCCCTTCCCCCCCAAATCCTGTAACTCACACCCCCTCCCCGCCCCTGCCCGGGCTCTGACCCCAGAGAGAGGGGCTGGGCTGAACAGGGCGGGGCAAAGGCCTCTTCTAGTTGAGGGAGGGGAAGGAGGCCCCTTTGGGCTTAGCCTAGTCTGAAAATCTAAGGGTAGTGGTTGGGGGGGGTGCCTCCCCTCCCCCAGTCACTCTCAGGGCAGCTCCTCCCCTCTCCACCCCCCTTTATGGGAAGGGAGTGGGACACCCAGACCTGCAGCGGGGTGGGGGAGCAGGGTTTACTGGTGTGGGAAGAGAGTGTGTGTGTGTGGGGGGGGGGTGTCTAGCAAAAGAGCCCGAGAAGCCTTGCCTTGACTGCTGCAGTTGCTTGGGTCCTGGTCCTTCCAGGCCCGCCAGTGCCTTTGATTCTGGGGCTCCTGTGCCTGCCACCTCCCGTCTGCTCAGCCCCCATGGACACCCAGCCAACCTTCCCGTTCAGTCCTTGGGTGCTGGTATGTGGTGGGGCCAGTCTGGAGGCAGGGCCTGACAGCCTGGAAGTGCAATGAAACTAGGCTGGGCGTGAGGTGCGGAGTCTGCACACGGTTGAAGGGCTCCGTGCTGGTGGAGTGTGAACAGGCCTATGTCATCCACAGGCCTTCCTTTGCAGAATTCCATTTGGAAGGGTCTCCAGTATCCTGCTTTATCTGTCTTGGAAGCTCTGGCTGACTGGTGCACCCGAAGCTTAGGAACAGCGCAGAGGTGCCGAGCTTTAACGCGGGTTACTTGTGCAGAACCTGCCAGGTCCCTGCGCTTGGCCCCAGGGGCACTGTTTTGGCTAAGTGAAGACTCTGCCCACCCCTGCCCGCGCCTGGGTTCCTCCCTGGAAGCACGGGCTCCTCAGCCGCAGACCCTCGGGTGGGCCGGGCCGGAGCACGGTGCGCTGAGCATTTGCCACTGCGGCCTGGCTGGCTGGCCCAGAGGGGCGCGGGGTCGCGGGCCGGCCTCAGGGCTTTGTGCCGCTCGCTCCCGGGTGTGTGCGAGACGCAGAGCTTCCAAATTGACACCATATGTTTTCCTATTAGATGCTTCGCGGTCGAATTCTAGGCGCATAATCATCGCCACTGGGCAAGAGCGCCAGCGTCCCTGGGGAAGGGACACAATGATTGAGGCTTAACCTCTGAGGGGGAACTTAAAGTTGCTCTGTCTCGCTGCCATTTCGATGCTGGCAGAGGCGACTTGGCCCTGGCGTCTCCTGGGTGAGCACCCGGCGGTCGCCGCGGAGGTGGCAGGCACGTTATTTTTTTTGCCATGGGGAGGGTGGAGAAAGAGGGAGGCCCAGGACCAGGCGGGTTCGTGCGCCCTGGCACCTGGAGGTTGGGAATGGCGCAGCCGATGCGTGAAGTTTGGAGAGTCTTTCTCCCTCTCTCCATGGAACATTCTTTTTCTTTCCGGGTCAGTTCCCTTTGCCCAAGGGGGAAGGCTTTGTCGCTGGGCAGTAGATGGGTTTTGCTAGGCAAAGGGAGGCCATGAAGGGAATTTAGGAGAGACGGGAAGCGCAAGCTAGGCCTCGGTCTTTGGAGACGTGGTGTCCCCGAGACGTCCTCGCTCTCGCTGGGTCCCACTGGAGCCCAGATCCCCCCCCCAACGCTTGTCAGTTCTCATCGAGTTGAGGCCCCGGCCCCCCACCCCACCCCTCCCTTGCAAAGCACCCCCTCCCTTAGTCTTGAGCCTCCGGCTGCCCTGCAAACGCGGCTCCCCTCGAAGGGGAAAAGAGCGCAGTTCCATCTCGTCTGAGTGATCTACAAATAGGGACGGAAAGGGTCGTTTTATCATGGTCCCGTTTGTCGTGACGATGCAATTTCCCGGAGCGGAGCACTGTCACAAAGTGACAAGGCTGCCACAAGCGCCCCGACTGATCTTTTCAATTAGCCTTCCATGCATGATCCGGAGCGACTTCCGCCTATTTCCAGAAATTAAGCTCAAACTTGACGTGCAGCTAGTTTTATTTTAAAGACAAATGTCAGAGAGGCTCATCATATTTTCCCCCCTCTTCTATATTTGGAGCTTATTTATTGCTAAGAAGCTCAGGCTCCTGGAGTCAATTTATCAGGAAGCTCCAAGGAGAAGAGAGAGAGGAGAGCTGAGCAGAGAGCCACGTCTTCTCCTGGAAGGGCTGCTCTCTAGAGTCTGGGCTGCAGGTTGGAGATTTTTAAGAAAGTAGAAATTGGCAGTTGGCTTTATTTGTGATCCTGTGGGTTCTGGGGAGGGGGCTCCAGAGAGGGGCTAACTCCCTCTCTGAATTCTCTAAGAGATCAGACAATAGGGTGAGGTGGGGAGGTAACTGGATCAAGGAGGGATGGGGGACACCGTTGTGTTCTTTTCCTATTCTTTTCTCTTTCTGATTTTTGCTAATATCGGTCCCTGGTTGTGGGAAGGCCAAGTTCAGCAGCAGAAGGAAAGCAAGCGGTGGTGGCTGTGAACGACTTCCAGCGCTCGGTCGCCTAGGCAATGGGACCACTTTGTGGTTGGAATTGGGTGGGAGCTCAGACCCTCATGCCTGAAAAGGAGGCGCTGAAACCCAGGTTGGGGTGCACTAGCCACAGATTTGCTGTTCCGGTTCTCGGTTCTTCTCTACTCTGCTTTCTTCTCTTCTACGTTTTTTTCCCCTTTTCATACTCCAGTGTTTGTATGGTGCCTTTGCCAGAGTTTGGAGTACGAGAGCGAACATTTCTGGACTCTAGTGTCCAATAGAGCACTGAAGAGCTGTAGGATTTGCTATCAGTAGTTCCAACAATGCAGAGACCTTGGAGATCCAGTGTGGCTCTGCAGAACCTTGGTTTTATCACGACACTCAGCGGGGGTCTTGGGGGGAGGACATTTTTAGAATGGATTGTTTGTACCTTGTTGGTTCAGAGGCTAGATGGTGTGTTAATGGTGGGGGGGGGAGCAATAGACTTGGGGCACTGCTGGGGTGACGGTGGCAGCGAGGTGTGTGTTCTTCCTCGTCAGCATGCGTCTGTACGGTGCTTCTGCAGTCCTGGGGGCAGGAGCATGGCCAATTTTGGGGCTGGGCTGCCTGATGCCCTGCATGGCCGGGTGGTGCTGTTGCTGTGGGGTTTTTTTGTTTTGTTTTGTTTTGTTTTGAATCAACAGCAGGGGCTGGATAGCCAAGGATGGCATGGATTGTCAGGGAACTGAGGATGCAATGTGGTTGTCTTCTCTACACTCTTCTCTTTACTCTTTTTCCTCCTTGCTCTGCTCTGCTCTGCTCTTTTCTTCTGTGCTCTGCTCTACTCTCCCTTTCCTCAGGTCACAGCGGAGTGAATCAGCTCGGTGGTGTCTTTGTCAACGGGCGGCCACTGCCGGACTCCACCCGGCAGAAGATCGTAGAGCTAGCTCACAGCGGGGCCCGGCCGTGCGACATTTCCCGAATTCTGCAGGTGATCCTCCCGGCGCCGCCCCCTTGACCCTCTGCTCTCAGTGCCCTCCCTTCATTTCTCACTGTAAACGCTGTTAATTATGGATCCCCCACCCTTAGCCCCCCCCCATTCCAGTCCCCACCCCAGTCTCCTGCCTCTGCTCTCCCCTTTCCTTCCATATCCTTCTCTGTCTCTTTCAACCTGGGCCAGTCCCATAAGATTCATCCGCTTAAGAAGAAAAATGTATGTGTGTGAATTTTTAAAATACACCTTTCTAATTTCATTGGGTTAAAAACCATTTATTGCGTAACCGTTTATGAACTACAATAAGGGGCGTCCTACCCACTGACAAATTTCCACCCCCTCCTCCTTTATCCCGTGCTTCCCTCAGATTTTGCGAGACTGGTTTGCATTCTTCGTGTTTGTGCAAATATATATTGATTTAAAACGACACATGCTATTTTTCTCTTTCCCTAACTCACACTCAATTTGGCCTATTTTTAAAAGAAAAATAAGGAAAAGTTCAGTTTTGTTCCCCTCCACTTGCTCATGTAAACATCACCTTTTAAGCAAGGTCAGCACACAAAAAAAAGAGAGTCTGACTTTGTTTTGATGCATCTTCAGGCAGCATTTAAGAAAGTTTTTTTAAAAAAACTTTTAAATTAGTTTTTTTAGTTCCAACTGTTTGAAAGTATCATCCTCTTTGTAGTTTTTAGGGCTGCAGATGTAATTTTTAAGAAAAAAGCGCTCTACAGTAAGTTCTCGTACCATTGAAGGTATATTTTTGTGTTATAGACCCATGCAGATGCAAAAGTCCAAGTGCTGGACAATCAAAACGTAAGCTTGTCATTGTTTAATGCATACTTAAACAATTTTATTTTTGTCTTGAAATTATTAATAATGTGGTTTTCTGTCCACTTCCCCTATGCAGGTGTCCAACGGATGTGTGAGTAAAATTCTGGGCAGGTATTACGAGACTGGCTCCATCAGACCCAGGGCAATCGGTGGTAGTAAACCAAGAGTAGCGACTCCAGAAGTTGTAAGCAAAATAGCCCAGTATAAACGGGAGTGCCCGTCCATCTTTGCTTGGGAAATCCGAGACAGATTACTGTCCGAGGGGGTCTGTACCAACGATAACATACCAAGTGTAAGTTCACTGGGGACCACCTCCCTCCCTGCCCTAAGCTCCATGCTCTTTCCTCTTCACCATCTCTCTCTTTACCTTCTCCCGCTCTCTTCCCTCCCAGAGTCTCCCCATTTTTATCTTCTACTGCTCCATTTTTTTGTCCCTTATACCTGGGGTTATTGAGAGGAGCAAAGTAACCTTATTCTGCTCTCCTGGACATGGGAGTCAAGTGTGGAGAGCTGTTTTCCTCACTTGCATGCTGCAAAGTAGAGGGTGGAGGCACCCGAGAAAGGCACTTGAATCAAGAAGGAAAATGAAAACAGATTCTAACCTTCGCCCAATCGACCTGCCTGAATCCTCCTTTGGGTGTCAACCGTCCATTTTTATTTTTTTTTATTTTTTGCCCTCATGTAAAACAAAGTGAAAGAAAGCCTCACACCAAGTCAAACTCTTTTTTTGGGGGAAATCTTTAACAAAACAAAGCAGCCCCATGAGTTAGGTCACCAGAGATACTGAGCAATGGCAAAGGATACCCTCCCCCAGTCTCCCAATTCTCTGCCCAGTTCAGCTTCTGTGGCCAGAGTGATGGCTGTCATTCCTTTTATGATGTGTCCAAAATTTTTATCCACTGTCTCAGGATGGCTGGAAGCTCTATAATATATTAAGGGTCATTTTTTATGGGGGTGGGTGTACTGAGATGGGGACTTAAGACAGGGTGACCATGTCTTCGGGAGAGGCTGCCATTTGGTTTATTTTGGTTTGATTTACAGGTGTCATCAATAAACAGAGTTCTTCGCAACCTGGCTAGCGAAAAGCAACAGATGGGCGCAGACGGCATGTATGATAAACTAAGGATGTTGAACGGGCAGACCGGAAGCTGGGGCACCCGCCCTGGTTGGTATCCGGGAACTTCAGTGCCAGGGCAACCTACACAAGGTACAAACCCAGTCATACTATCCTTAAAACTCTCCATATAAGCAGCTTTTTGCCCAGCCTCCTCACCCTTAAGCTTCTCCCTCTCCTGGTTTCTGTGCTTGGAAAATGAAGTGGGGACACTGTTTAAAGACTGGGGACATAATGACTTGCACTGTATGTAGGTGGTGTTGGTGGAACTATCTGGTTGGCCTGGAAATGTGAAGGTGATGTCAGGAGTCATCTGTATGTGGCTGGTGTGTGTGCATGTACGTGTGTCTTATGGCCAGGAGTGTGAATCTGGAAGAGCTAGCTAGCTGCGTGGTGCCCTGTTCACATTTGCCATTTAAAATGCACAGGGAGCCCCCTCCCTGTACAAGTGTGACAAGTTATCACACTGACAGACTGTGAGGTAAACATAATTGTATCATTTTGCTTTTTGCTGTAATTGACAAATTATGTGACTATGAGTAGCGTGAATATGAGAGGGTGAGCAGCGACATGCAGGGTGAATCCAGGAAGGGGCATTGAAAGTGGTGGTCGACCAACTAAAACTATGCCAACCATACCCCGGCCTGTCCCCTCGGCCACTCTGTGGGTGGCATGTAGGTAGAAGGGTGGGGTGAGTGTACTGTGAACTGAGCTCTGTGGTACCTGGAGTGGCTCCGGGGCCAGGAGGACAGAGGGAATCTGGACAGTCCCAGGATCTGGGAGAACGTCTGCAGGGACAGGCGAGATGGGGGTAGGGTGGGGTCGGTTGCTCTCTGCTCCCCTACTTACCCCGAGGTAGCTTGGTCAAGAATAGGAAACAGTTTGCTCCGAAGATTAATCGGTATTTGTTGTCCTCGTGACAAGGAGATAATATGCAGGATAATGGGACGTGGCGTGTCACTCCCCGGAGCATGGCGAAGCCAGGGGGCTCGGGCCGGGGGTGGCGCGCGGGGATGCAGTGCAGACTAGGCTGCTGCGCGCGGCGTGCGCTCCGCCGGACCGTTCGGCCTGCCCGGAGCCTTCACCGAGCCGGCTAGAGAAGGGAAAATCGGTAACAGTATGCGAAATATCTGGTACAAAGGATGCTTCTGTCACTCGCAAGAATTTGTTATGGGAACAATCCTGTCGCTCTGTAATTGCTCATTAGAGAACATTTTGTTTCTCATTAAGGCGACATGAATAAGCGTCTAGTTGAAGGAGACAGCTGTAGAAATGTTCCACAAGAGACCTCTGGACACGATTCGGCACCAATTGCCAATTAGACATGTCAGTTTTAAGAGCAGAAAACAATATAGGACGGACACTGGGAAGATAGGGCGCGAAGTGCTTGCTCAGTGTTTCCCAGCACAGCCGCCGAGGCCTCCTGAGCGCCAGCCCAGCCCAGCTCCCCTGGGCGACCCTGTCCGCCCGCCAGCCCGCGGGGTCCCCGACCCGTGACCTCCCGGAGAGGGTGGAGGGGGCCAGGTACAGCTCTGTCTCCGCTGGGTCGCAGGCCCAGGCCCACACCACCTTGGCTGAAGACCACCACGCCCTGACCAGACCTTTAAAACTCCAGGGTTCCCGCACGTGCACCTGGACACACCCAAGCAACACCCGAAATTGCATCCCCTAGCACCCTATCTCCAGTGTCCCCCCTCTTTCTAAAATGGTCCCTACCGCAGACTCTGGCAGTCTGGGGTCCAGAAGTCTTGGGGAGTGTGCAGGGCACAGTGGCTGGGGGTCGGGAGGACTGAACCCACACCCGTCACAACTGGGACCCCTCAGCTGGAGGGCTCGAGTTAGCTTGGGGCCTAGAGCAGGGACGCCCTCCTTCAGCCTCCCGGTGCCACCTGCGTACAGCTTGACTGTCCCCACCGCTTCCACTCGAGGTGATGCCGGATCAGGGCAGCTCTGCGTCCTGGGAGCGCGCAGGGGAGGCGAGGGTGCCAGCGGGAGCTGAGCTGCAGGACCCGGTGCTGGTGGTTAGGGCGGGAGGTGGCGCTAGCTCAGGAGCGTTTAACTTCTAAGTGCCGAATTGCTGGAGAATTCTGGCTCACTAGTTGCCAATCTCCCCTCCCCCCCAAGCAAACAAACACCCCCACCCCTGTGCTTGGTCCCGGGGGCACTGACCGCTGGCCACACTGTGTAGGGGGGACACGTGGAGCCAGCGCGGCGTGGAGTCCTGGGGCGCAGGTCGCTGATGGGGAGCTCTGGCTGCACCGCCCCAACCTCGGGCCCCCTCCCTTGTGGTCCCTTTCTCTGCCCGGGAAGCCTTTTTTTTTTTTTTTTTTTTTTTTTTTTAAAGTTTTAAAGAGTCCATTACTCGAAAGCATAAGGCGAGGTTAGGTCTCAGAGGGAGACAAATATGGTTTCCATCTGATGGATGCCATGCGGTGGGGAATAAAATCCTGACGACGTGGGCTGACAACAAGAGACAACTCTATCCAGCCCCAATTCTCCAGCGATTTGCTGATTTTAGGGATCACGGAGACACTTTTCTTATCTCCTCCCCCTACCCCCACCCCCCATAATACCCAGGCCCTCTATAGGATTTAGTCAGTCTCTTTTTCAACAGATGCTACAATGTTTTGATCCGCGCTCCAGAGCTGAAAAGGTGCCGCAACCGGGTTGCTATCTTTTCTTGCTTGTTTTCCGCCTCACTGATTAAGACACTAAGAAACTAAGGAATGATTTTATTTCCCAGAGTCTTTTTTTTTTTTTTTTCTTCTCTTCTTCTTCCAGGAAACAAATCCTATCCCCAGCGTCAGATGGTCCTGGGGCTGGGATAATGGGAGGCGCTTTCACTGGCCTCCTCACGGATTAGGCTGGAAGGTGGACGGGGCTCATTGAAGGCCCCTTCTTTGCTCGCTCCGAGGGGGCGCCTTTTAAAGCAGATATCTTAATTGTCTGCCACTTAGGGTTATCATGGGGGGAATTGGAGATGCAACTTCTAGTTTTATTTTGTTAAGAGTTTAAGAGTGGTAGGTAAACTCAGTAAAGAAAAAGAGGGGGCCCCCCCAATCTAAGTGACCGCTCTGTCACCGCCTGCCTGCAAACACTTGTTACTTACTTTGTAAGCAGCAAACTAATTTTCAAGGATGCACACTCACTCAGAGATGGAGGTGCAATCCTACAGCCACAAGGTGCAATCCTTACCAGCTTCTAATTCCACTTTTTCTTCCCCCCAAAGAGGTTTAAAATCGATGGGCTCTCAGCTCAGTTGACTTCTCGCCACTCTGAATGTCAGTTCTGAAGTCAGCAGAGCGGCTCTGTGTGGGGGGAGGGGGAGAGGCAGCAGTGGGGGTGGGGGCGAGGGAGAGCTCACAAATCTGTTTTAAAATTAGGGAAATGTCAGAGCAGCGCATGAGAGCAGAGAATACTATCTGCAGGGGTCTTCGGAGGGAGACCCAGGCAGCTTTGTTTAATTGGCAACATCGAATGTGCCAGAAAAAGGACTGGACTGGGGTCTCCTGGAAGGCAGGGGCATGAGTGGCCACCCTGGAGATGGGACTGTGTTCTCCTCAGCGCAGTCCCGAACTGTACGGAGGATGGTGGAATGATCCCAGGTTGTGTTTGTATTTTTTCCCCAAACAGTTACCCACTGGCCGTCTAGCTGACCATCCAGGGCCATTTCTAAAGCCTTTCTCATTTGCCGAACATGGACTAGGGGAGACTCTTCATTTCTTTCCTCCAAGAACACTTTGGGAAACTTGGGGCAGTAAATTATCCGCTTCTTGTGTGTGTGCACATGAACTGAGCGTCTTCCCTCAGTCCCACAGCCCCCCTGTGCCATCGCCCAACCTTTTCTGCCATATGGAAAGATAACCCATGTAGAGCCCCGGCCTGTTTACTAATCTTCCCCAGTATCCTTTTCCTCTCCCCCGGACCCTCCTTCCGCCTCTTGTTTCTTTTCCCTCTCAGCACTTACTGTTCTTATACCTTTCTGATCTCTATTTCTTCAAAACCCTCTTTTCTTCCCCCACCTTTCTCCACCTCCACTTTTCTCAACTCCCCACCCACCCCCAACCTCCTTCCCTGCCTCTCTCCCTCCTTAGGTCTCCCTCCTCTCTGCAGATCCCTCTCCCCACCTTCTTGTCTCCTCTGTCCCCATCTGCCCTCTCTGCCTCCCCCCACCCCTGCTCTGGCCCCCCATCCACCCTCTACCCCCCCTTCTTGGTCCCCCCAGCCCAGCGCCCTAAATAGCATTGAGACACCGCTCTTCGGACAGTGATTAATGATAGCAGAGCAGAGGGGTTAACACACTTCACTGAAAAGTCTGTTGACTGGGCTTCTTGTAACACAATGTGGCCCGCTGCACGCCTCAAGAGAATCCTTTTGTTGTCCGCGCTCATTGTGGCCTCAAAATTCTGCCCACGAAAGTTTGCCAACGCTCCTGCCCCAGGAGTTTAATAGTTTCCCTTACTCGCAGGGCATTGTGCAGCGCTGAAAAGCAGCCCCTCGCTATTCAAGTGTTGGTGGTCATCTCAATAGATCTCCAAGGGCCCATATGGTGGCCAGTGCCGATGAATCCGCCTGTTTAAATGGGGGAGAAAGTTGGGGTTTTAAAACATTTCAAAGTTCCTGAAAAGATCCCACTAGATCCTGTCACAATTCCCTGAACTCTTTGAAGGCACTGCCTATTGTCTCCTGGTTATAAATGATATTCCTGGCCAAGTCGATTCCCACCAAGGCATCCCTAGAGGCCCCTCCCCCCCACTGGGGGAGGGCAGCCCCTGTTGGTATCCCTTGGGGGCCTCTGGACCAGGACCCAGCCTACGTGGTCCTGGAGGCTCAGTTAGGGCAGAGTCCTTCCCCTCAGAGGGCTGCGGACTTACAGGCAGGCGAGGTGAGAGACAGCTAGCCCAAGTGCACATCTTGCCCTCCAAGCAGCAAAGGAAAACAATAAAACTTTCCCCTGTTTAATGATAGAAATTACATTAAAAGTGGTGGAAATGCCCTAATTAAAAATGTACCACTTAAATGATATGCCAAGGATTCAGCTGCAGCATAGCATATTTAGCTAGTTAGTGAACTCTCTACTATTTCTTTTTTAAAATTACACGTTAAAAATTTAAAAGAAATCTTACTTTTCTCTGGTGCAACACATTACAAAGAATGGACAGTCCTTTTATCTAAATATAAAATTCCATTTTCAGCAATTATAGCCTGTTCTTGGTGATGATATAATTACAGCTGTGCTCGTAATAGGTGTCAAGGCAAAGCGCACTCATACAATAGTTGAATAAAACTGCAGAACAATGCGAGCACTTCTAAATTCACAACCTTTAAAATGAAATTGACTGTGCAGAATTCAAATAAAAACTAGATAAATATTTTTTTTAAAAAATTACAAGCTTGGTTTGGTTTCTTAATAGCATTTTCTACAAACCTATCAACATCTAATTGATTAGATAGGAATTACTGATTATAGATCAGCTGAAATTTTGAACATCACTCTTCTATTTTCCCAACATAGCCAAAGGTAAATAGATTCTTGAAGGAACGGGAACTGGGTGAGACATTTAGGGAGTCAAGGTTAGTTATAAAGAATCATTCTAATTGGAAACTTTGGTGTTTGTTTTTTCACTCAAAGGAATGCCACATAGTGTTTGTATGGTATGGTCTCTTGATGAAAACAGAGAAAATGGTGCCCAGAGAAGGGATGTCATTAATGTCTTTTATTCAAAGGAGGTCAACACTTAGTTACTTTGGGAATGTTGTAGTGAGACTGTGGGACTATACTGTTCTTGGAGTTTATGGCTCTTACAGGCCCCTTTTGGAGGCTCTGAGTTATTCCAAATTTCTCTTATTGTCCTTTCTTTTGGTTCCAGATGGCTGCCAGCAACAGGAAGGGGGTGGAGAGAATACCAACTCTATCAGTTCCAATGGAGAAGATTCCGATGAGGCCCAAATGCGGCTTCAGTTGAAGCGGAAGCTGCAAAGAAATAGAACATCCTTTACCCAAGAGCAAATTGAGGCCCTGGAGAAAGGTGATGGAGTTTTTCAAAGTAGAGAAGCAGTAAATCAAAGGAAATGCCACATCTTCAGTACAAAGAGCTAAATTTAGCTAAGGCCCTTTGCATAGAGGACTGAAAAGGTTTCTTTTTCCTTCTTTTATTTTTTTCTGGGCATCTTTTCAGTCTCTCTGTGTTTTTTCTTTTCATGTACCAGTAACTCGAAGACTAAAAGTCTGACTTCTCATAAGAAAAAAATGATGATTTGGCTAATCCAGGCCACAGAAAGGTCCTTGAATGCCACGTCAAAGAAAATTTAACTTCGTTCTGGTGGGATAGTTCTTTCAAGTTCAGTCCATGTTAATAGTAGTGACATTTTAAAGGGAGGTGGTGGGAGTGAGAAGGTGAGACCAGCTTGACCTAGGGCTCGGTAGACCCATTTTGTGCAGTTCTGATACACTAGAAAACTCAACTTACTCTTTCAGAGTTTGAGAGAACCCATTATCCAGATGTGTTTGCCCGGGAAAGACTAGCTGCCAAAATAGATCTACCTGAAGCAAGAATACAGGTACCAGGGGCCGTGTGGTTTCATGCTTTGCACTTCATACCAGTTGCCTTTTCTGGAAACAAAGGTGTTACTGAGAAAACACCTTTCTCAGGTGGTGGGGGAGGGGCGTGATGTGCCAGGGGTGGGGTTGAGCTGGTAGTAGGCACCGAACTAACCTCTCTGTCTGATTTCCAGGTATGGTTTTCTAATCGAAGGGCCAAATGGAGAAGAGAAGAAAAATTAAGGAATCAGAGACGACAGGCCAGCAACACACCTAGTCATATTCCTATCAGCAGTAGTTTCAGTACCAGTGTCTACCAACCAATCCCACAACCCACCACGCCTGGTAATTTGAAATAATAATGCTGCTAAAAATGTGTTGAAACCTCTTTTCCTGGCATCTCTGATTCTCGCCATGACCCTCTGTCCTGTCTCTCCCCCTGCAGTTTCCTCCTTCACCTCTGGCTCCATGCTGGGCCGAACAGACACAGCCCTCACAAACTCATACAGTGCGCTGCCGCCCATGCCCAGCTTCACCATGGCGAACAACCTGCCTATGCAAGTAAGTGAGCCTGGCCACTGCCTGCGTGGCGGAGGCCCAGGAAGAGTGAGGAGGGGTCGGGCCGGCATACCCCATGCACCCTGCATGCCCCCTCAGAGTTGTTCTCCCTGCAGTGATTGGCTTGGCCAGTCAAGCCTGAGATGAAAATCGTCAATTCCACCTTTTAGTTGATTGATTGATTTGCCTCATGCTCTTTAAAGAAAATAAAAGCCTGACATTAAGCCAAGTGCTGTCTGCCGTCTGCTCGTAGGGAGTGTTCACTTGATAGCGTTGGATGGGAATGGGGCATGTTTTAGGTACCAGTGATACTTTTTTATTTATTTATTTAAGATTTGTTTATTTATGCATACAAGAGCTGGGGTACAGGCAGAGGTGCAGGAGGGTGAGAGGATTCACCAGAGACAGAGTGGGGAACAGAACAGGCAGACTGACTGAAATACACTGCTGAGGGGAGCAGCGGGCGAGACAGGAGAGGTCTGCTGTGCCATGTGGGTAGCTCCCTTGGCTGGGGATGAAAATCGTGCTGTGCTGCAGTGGCTGTGACTTAATCCCATGTGCCACCAGGTAGGCCCCGGTATCAGTGAAACTTGTACCCAGTGCTGGAGATAGTAAGGGGTTAGTTACATTGAAATTGGGCTTATGTTAATGTCTCCATATTAATAAATGAGCATGCACTTTGGACATTATTTAGGACATATGTGACAAACTAATGAGGGAGTAAAAAGATTGCAAACGGAATTCATATTTACATGATTGAATATGCTTAGTAGAGAGGAAAATAATTTTCTTTCTACATCTTGTAATAAAATAAAAGGACAAGCGGGTATTACCTAGAAATTTAGTGTGTCTTTGCCATGAATTATGTGATGAGTTTGTGATACTCTTAGTTGTCTGGAAAGGTTGATGCTCTTCAATTGGTATAACCTGCCTGTACTCTCAACTTTTCCCCCAAATATTTGTCAGTTTCCACATGTGCTAGGCTCTATACTAAATTCCCTTTAGGATGGAAGCTGTGTAAGGCAGATGGGGTGCACTAGAACTTTGGAGCTAGATGGATTTTTGGTGGGAAAAAATTGGTCTTTTAGTGTGTCTTCTGCAAAGGCTTTCCCAGGACTTCTGTTTGTTTAACAATTAGAGATGCCCGGATGGTGTGAGATTGGCCAGCATGAGCCCCTGCTGGAAGCAGTTCTGGGGCTACACAGATTGTTTATTCTCCACTGAGCATCTTTTGTTGCATTTTTAATCCAAATAACAGCAAAATAAATGTTTCACAGTTTTCAGACTAACAGGGAGCAACTCGATAACCAACTTCAGAGGAATTATTCATATATTTATTTTTATTGCATCTGAACATTATTAGCTATAGTGCAATTAATGTAAATTAATGGATTAACAGCCTATTAGTTGGTATGGGTAGAACTGCCTTGGAAATTTTCAGAAGTCAGGTGGCCTAAAAGAAATGATTTTAGGAATTAGAAACAAATGCAAGCTGAAATGCTGGCAGAACCCTGAAGGCCTGCTTGCTTCTTTGAACCTTATATTAGCTGTCATCCTCACTTTAATAAGGCCACTAAATGTCTTGCACAATTTTGTAAATTGCAGCAACATTTAGGTCTCTGTGAAAATCATGTATATAAGAGAAAACAATGAGAAGCAAATGGGCTGTTTCCACACATAGACTGCTGTGAAGACAACTTATTTCAAATAGTGACCCAAAAGTTATACCGCTTACATAATTAAAAAAATACATATGTTCATAAAACATAGAGAAAATAAAAATTATGGATCATTCTAGTTTCAGAGAAGACTCCTGTTTGATTTTTGGTGTTGGGGGGGCTGGTCTGTTTATCAATTCATCCTCTTGACCAAAATCCTCAGCCATTTTACAAAGGAGGGATGCCCTATGACCTTTCTCTAATGTATCATTCAACCTAGATTGTGGATCTTGGAATGCCAAACACTTCAGCAGTTGTGGGGCAGAGTATTTTTTATCATCTCTCTTGTTCCTGATATTATGTTTCTATTAATTCATCCCCAATTTGCTAATCCCGCCTAACCCTGTGAGAGCTCATGAGAGGTTTTGTTCTAGTTAGGTGTATTTCTTACTTAGTTGGAGAAAGGGTTTTCTCTTCAACACCATCACCCCAAACACTCAGAGAAAAACAATGTGACTATTTTTGGGTAGGAACTCATAGCTAATTCTCAGGGCGGGGCTGGTTATTTACTGACACTTTGGAGCACTTTAACCTGAGATCATTACTAACGTGCCTTTTCAAAAAAATCTTTAATCCCATGAATTCAACCATGAAAGACTCCCAGAATTCCTGAACCAAACCTTACAGAGAGCTTCTTCCACTTTTCTCTGTCCCAAAGCTCTAGATACAGGATTTGGGAGTCACTGGATCCCTAAACGGATTGGATTTGCAGAAAAGGTGTGTTTTAATGGAAGTTCTCATGCTATAGGTTTCCCAAAGATGCTTGCAGGGGTCCAAGATGAAAAAATCCTATTAATTTTGTAGATAGCGCCCACTGTCTAGCGGGACAATTATCCGAACTGATAGCACTTCGGAAGTCTGGTGCATAGGCAGCTTTACTCTCGCAGTGGCCAATGGAAGGACTGGTGAGAAGCCCAGGCTTAGATTGTAACACTTTTTACATGAATGCATCTTAAAATGATCAAACTTGCTGGCAATGTTTCTGGGGATGGGGAAGGGAGCCTGGGGGTGCTGTTGTGTGATGTGCTTCTCAGTAACCACAGGTTTGCCTCTTTCCTCTCAGCCCCCAGTCCCCAGCCAGACCTCCTCGTACTCCTGCATGCTGCCCACCAGCCCTTCGGTCAACGGGCGGAGTTATGATACCTACACCCCCCCACATATGCAGACACACATGAACAGTCAACCGATGGGCACCTCGGGCACCACTTCCACAGGTGAGCTGCTGCTCTCCCCAGGCTGCACACAGGTGGCCTTTATTGCTTCTCTGGCCAGGTGGTGTCCCTTCACTCAAAATTGACCTAAAATAACCTTCTGGCCTTGTGTGATGGTGTTTAAACCTTAGTTGCTTGCTTCTCTCATGACAACTGATCGAAAAGGAAAATTCAATCAAGCTAGTTAGCTAGTTGACACCATAGGAACAAACCCCAAGGTTGATTTTCCTAAATTTAGCCAAAGAAGTCAAGGCCTGGATTGTAAGTTTTTGGAGGAAAAGTTATTAGCCACAGTGCCACCCTGGGGGGTGGGGGCAGCGAGCTCATGGGGGCTGCTTCTTGGAAGACCACCTACCTTCCTTGCTCTTCTATGCCTTTCATTGCAAATGAAGGCCACGTTGGTTTTCCAGAGAGTTCTATTGTTAAAGTTACAAACATACAAATAAATGGAGTTAGTTCCCCCCCCCCATTCTTTTGGCTAGGGATTCAAGATATATGAAGTAAACATGTTATTTGGCTTCTGAAGGTGCTTTTTTGGTGCCACTCTTTATAAATACAGATAGAAAGTATTTGAGATTTTTTTAACCTCTTAATTCATACTCCATGCCTGTCTCTCTAAGGAAATGTCTACATGGCTATTTCTTTCATCCACTTCTAGGACTCATTTCCCCTGGTGTGTCAGTTCCAGTTCAAGTTCCTGGAAGTGAACCTGATATGTCTCAATATTGGCCAAGATTACAGTAAAAACAATAAAAAGAAAGAAAGAATATATTGTGTTAATTCAGTCAGTGACTATGTGGACACAGCAGTTGGGCATGCAGGAAGGAAAGAAAAAATGGCTGTTAGAAGCACTTCAGTTCTGCAATTGTGTCCTGTATTGTACCACTGGGGAACGGACTTGAAATGAGGACCTTTGTTATACAGAAGGCACGATATCAGTTGGAACAAATCTTCATTTTGGTATCCAAACTTTTATTCATTTTGGTGTATTATTTGTAAATGGGCATTTGTATGTTATAATGAAGAAAAAAACAGAACAACAGTAGACTGGATGGATCTTTGAACTGTGTTGGTCATGAAATTGTTTTTTAAAAAAAGGAAACCATGATCAACAAGTTTTGCCACGAATTTAAGAGTTTTATCAAGATATATCGAATACTTCTACCCATCTGTTCATAGTTTATGGACTGATGTTCCAAGTTTGTATCATTCCTTTGCATATTATTAAACCTGGAACACATGCACTAGATTTGTGTAAGAAATATCTGTTGGTTTTCCAAAGGTTGTTAACAGATGAAGTTTATGTGCAAAAAAGGGTAAGATATAAATTCAAGGAAGAAAAAAGTTGATAGCTAAAAGGTAGAGTGTGTCTTCGATATAATCCAATTTGTTTTATGTCAAAATGTAAGTATTTGTCTTCCCTAGAAATCCTCAGAATGATTTCTATAATAAAGTTAATTTCATTTATATTTGACAAGAATACTCTATAGATGTTTTATACACATTTTCATGCAATCCTACATTTCTTCTTTGGCCAGCAAAAGATAATTGTTCTTAGATATAGTTGTATTACTGTTCACAGTCCAATCATTTTTGTGCATCTAGAATTCATTCCTAATCAATTAAAAGTGCTTGCAAGAGTTTTAAACTTAAGTGTTTTGAAGTTGTTCACAACTACATATCAAAATTAACCATTGTTGATTGTAAAAACCATGCCAAAGCCTTTGTATTTCCTTTATTATACTATTTTCTTTTTAACCTTATAGTGTGGTGTTACAAATTTTGTTTCCACGTTAGATGAACATTCTAAACCAATGGTGACTTTCGTACATTTTCTATTTTCAATTCGGTTGCTCCTTAAAGAAACAATTCTTATGGATAACACAAATCAGAAATATGTTAGAGAAAAATTCCACCTAAAGCTCTGTGTAGCTCTGTCCCATTTATACTTACAACTCATATACAAAATGGTAACATTTCCCACTTAGCGGTTTTAAGTCAAAGGCTCAAAGTCTAGAAATAATTTAAAAATGCAGCAAGCTATTAACTAGGAATTGTCTTTCGAATTAGGGCTGGCATTTTCAATGTGGGCAGATTTCCATTGTCAGCCTGTTTCAACAGCGATTTCACTGAAGTATATTCAAAAGTAGATTTCTTAGACAAGACTCACTGAAAGCTGTTGCCTTTCTCAAATAGGCCCTCTCCCTTTTCTGTCTCCCTCCCCTTTGCACAAGAGGCATCATTTCCCATTGAACCACTACAGCTGTTCCCATTTGAATCTCGCTTTCTGTGCGGTTGTGGATGGTTGGAGGGTGGAGGGGGATGTTGCATGTCAAGGAATAATGAGCACAGACACATCAACAGACAACAACAAAGCGGACTGTGACTGGCCAGTGGGAGTTAAAGGCCTTCAGTCATTGGCAGCTTAAGCCAAACATTCCCAGATCTATGAAGCAGGGCCCATTGTTGGTCAGTTGTTATTTGCAATGAAGCACAGATCTGATCATGTTTAAAGTGGCGGCACGCAGGGCAGGAGTGCTTGAGCCCAAGCAAAGGATAGAAAAAAATAAGCCTTTGTTGGGTGAAAAAGACCTGTCTGACACTTTTATTTCTGTCTGTTCTGTGCAACATATAAGTCAATATAGATAAGTTTTCTTCTGCAAAGTTCCATCAAAGGCTGGGTGTTCTGGCGGTCCAGATAAAATGCTTGCACGGGCAGAAATCTCTGGGGACAAAGACACAATTCCACTGAATTGTACTCTGCTCTTTTATTTGTTTTGTTTGGAATCCCCGAAGGCAAATGATCAGAAATATAGAAATTAATTGGCTTTGAAATATAACCCAATTCAGTCCCTACTATTTTCTACTTAAGGAGTTACTTGTGAATGGAAAATTGTGATTCACCTCTCTGGCATGCTATATATTAATAATTTTACTCCATCAGTCACTGCACTTTTAGAGACACCTTCCTTGCTGGATTGCAGTTTTGATATGTGTGCATATCATTTTATTCAATGCCAGCCTGCACTGCACCTGCTCACACTTCCACAGTGGAGTGTGCACACATAGGCATTGTTGGTACAGTTACTCCTGCAGATATTTCTACCTCCTGACATTTTGCAGCTTACATACCCTGCGGGACATGTACCTAGGGAACTGCGAGAGAAGGGCTATGTGTGAGTGTGTGCTGCAGCTGCTGGCTGGCTTACTTCTTCCTGGCTAAGATTTGGGCCAGGGTCAGGCCTCCAGTCCTGGCCCATGGTTCTGTTGCATAGAGAACATCAACTGTAGACAACTGGATATGGCCCTTTGGGTGCAGGAGCTGGGGTTGGGAGGAGGGGAGTGCGTGGGGTCTGTCTGAGCACACATGGTGCAGATACATGTTCTCTGAGGGTCAGGATTGCCAGGGTGCACTGGCGCAGCCTGGTTTAGTCTGAAGAAGCAACTGCTCAGCTGCAAAAGCCCTCTGGTCAAGCCGAATGGATGGCTGCCTTGCCTTCTGCCTTCACCCCAGGGAGATGAGCTGTCTCTTGAATGCTGCTCTAGGAACTCTCCAGGGGACAGCCTGGCTGGCACTCTGTGGAAGCAGTGCCTAGGAGGTGGCCTTTTACTCATTGTTGAAATTATTTTTTGTTTATTTATTTACTGATAGGTATATTTATATATTTATCAATGGGAACTCTGCAGGGATGCCGAGTTGGTGAGCAGGGATATCCAGGATGGTGACCATCCATTGGTGGTATCCTCAGTACAATCACAAGACTAACAACCTAGGATGTCTCTCCAAATTTGACTGACTTAGGAGACCAGGTGACAGAACTAGAACTGAATGTTTAGGAGACATTTAAATTACTAAGTGAAAAATGCTTTCTATTACAATAAATTTCTAGAATATTTTCCCCTCAAAGTTGTGCCTTCTAATGCTTAAATGGTAAGCAACTGGCTTACCAGTCATTTCTTCCTACTTTTTAAAAAATCATAACTAGGTTTCTTAAGATTTATTTACACAGTATTTTTACACAGTATTTTTAAAAGTCAGCTCTGTTCTGTGAATATTTGTCATCTTAGGATGGCGTCTGTATTCTGTTTATTTCTTTTTGTGACGGGCCTGGATGTTAACAAGATTAAAAAAAAAAAGACTTTCTTTCTCTTTACAATGTTTGGCTCACAAAGGCCAAACACATTCTTTCCTTTTCTGTTTCTCAAGAATAAACCACATCTGTTTTTGCCTCTGTCCTGAATGACTTAACTGTTCAAATTTAAAGTTCAAAGTGTAAGTACTTAGGGGTAGTGTTGCCTAAATTTGATGGTATTGATGGTGACTATCTTTGGAAAGCAGTAACCAAATGTTTCAGAGATGACATTCACAATGGGTTTAAGCAAATGAATAGCCCTCCCTTCCCTTTTGTATGCCTGTGTGTCTGAGTCTTTAAAATTAAAAGATAGACAGGGAATTGACTGCAGAGTGTTGCTTCCTTTTGAAGTAGTTTTATTTTGTTTAGTGTTGTTATTTGCAGATCCTGGAGGTGGAGATAAAGAAAAATGGAAAAGTGAAAAAGTGGAAATTGTCTGGTGGCTACTAAAAAGAAATTCAGAAGGTCTTAGAACCCTAGCACCTGAGCAGACTGCAGTAGTCAAAATATTTATCTCATGTTAAAGAATGGCAAATCTAGCGTAAGAAATGAATTCCATATAGGGTTTTAAAGTTTTAGAAACATTTAAAAGATATGAGGACATTTCAAATGCTATGTTTGGCATTGTTCCTAAGTATTTATATCTTTGAGACAAGTTGATAATTGAACAAATCTTTTAATAGAGGGTATATTTCATAATATGTCAAAATGGTGTGTATATCTACAGTAGTATTATTGAAAACCATATTTTTATGTGGTAACTTATTAGCATATGGATAATGCATAATGTTTGCAGAGGAAGGAAAACACATTTTTAGAGTGGGTTTTTATTAGAGGAAAACAAAAATATACATTCCTCTCTAGCAGCTAATTTTTACAAGGCCTGCCTAATGAATCAGAATAACAAAGCACTTAGATTGATTTTTGGGAAGCCCGGTACTGTTAGTGTTCAATATGCACTTTTATTGAGTTTGAAAAGTTTCGTTCATATTTAAAGTAAGAGTTCAAATATGCACATTCAATTTTTATAGTATTTACTTATTTGCAGAGCATATATTAACTAGTAATTGGCTGTTCATTTTATAGACATGATAGCCAGGATAGTAAATCAATGACCTATTAAGTATTTTTGACAAGCAATTTACATATCTGATGACCTTACATTTCCTTTTCAGAGTCAAATGCTATGTAATTGTTCTGTTGTGTGTTTGTGGAAAGTGAAATGAAATCACAACATAGTAAAAAAAGGTTAGAGTTATTAAAATAATAACCTGACTAAAATATTCACTTGAATTTATTCAGACTGTTCAGAATGCTTTCAAAGGACATAGCAAAGCTTTTGTGGAGTATCTGCACGTTATTTATTATCTATGAACTAAATTGATTTTTTGAAGTTGCTTTAAATTTTAAAAGCACCTTTGGTTAATATAAAAGCCCTTTAATTTTAACTGACAGATCAATTCTGAAACTTTATTTTAAAAAGAAAGTGGGAAAATTTGTATCTTTAGAATTAAAAGAAGTGAAAAAAAATAAACCAGACAATCTAAAAAAATAGAAGAAAAAACTTGATTTTTAGTACTAATGAAATAGCAGGTGACAAAATAGTTGTCTTTTTGATTTTGATCACAAAAAATAAACTGGTAGTGACAGGATATGATGGAGAGATTTGACATCCTGGCAAATC